CCGTAACGGTAAGTGGAGCGGTAGGGGTTGATATAGTGGGGTAGGTCTGAGAGTTTAACAAACAGCGATCTTGTTTAAGACGTTAGTAATCGTGTTACGGCCTGCTTCTAGTCCTACTAAGGGGTCGGATAAAGATAAATTATAGTAGCGGATAAAGGCTTAATTACTATAAGGTTAATAGGGATAAGATAACTAAATAAAGGTTAATATAACTCTTACGGAATAATACACTGTTAAGCAGATCGTAGATCCAGAGGTCCCTAACAAATAGATCTTATTAAAGCTTGATGCTTAAAAATAATATAATTACTAACGTGAGAAACCAAAAGGTCCCTCACTCTATTATAGGCACGATAATAGTATCTATATTACTAAGTCCTGGTAGTACCTCCGTACCTTACTCACTCTGCTCACAGTACTCACCTGTAATCAGGGTGAGCAAAGTAAGCACGATCACAGGCTACTCACAGTAATTACCCGCGATAAAGGTGAGCAGAGTAAGCGCTCTGTATACGTCACTTATATACACTGGGCTACATACTGTGCTTCCTGCAGGGCTATGTCGGTCCGGCCCGACCCCTCCTGCGACCATAGGTCGTGACAGTTTAGCTAAAAAATCAGGAGTTAAAAAGACTGATTAAAAGGAGGAGTTTTATAAAAAACTTACCGTTAATCTTAAGATTATAACGGTAAAAAAATATCTTAATAAAAGTTATACTTTTTAAAAATACGTTTGTTTATTATAATAGATATCTTACATTATTAAAGCTGTTTAATGTGATAAAGATATTAGTTTAAAAGCCCTAACCTGTAATAACTGTATAAGACGGAATAATAACTTGACTAACCCCCCTTTTTAGGGATAGATTACTTTAGCTAGAGGAAACGGTAACAAAGACACCTAATTTAACTTTAATTTTAAAGTGCCTTTAAAACTAACCGTTATAAAGATCCTTAAATTACTAGCTAAAGGCCGTTATTTCACTTGTTATTAAAAAGGATATTGTGGATTAAAGTGCTTATATAAGAACTTTAAGCTTAATAAGAGAGTTAATATCTAAGCTATTATCGATAAGTACGCTACCTTAGAGAAGGAGAGAGTCCTGACTTTTCCTTTTAATATAAAGCGTATTAAGGAGTTAAGTAATAATAAGTGTTTTAACTTAAATTTAATAAATTAAATACCCTGGGAAACGACGACTCCCTTTTAAAGAAGGTGTTAGTTACGTCTTTAAGCGTTATTTAAATAAAGGTGATTTATTAAGATACTAGAACTTATCCTCTAAAGGGATTTTTAAGTGGTTTTTTATTTTATATTCCCTGTTTTATAATAAATAATAAATCTTCTCTTAAAACAAATAAAGGACTACTTAACACGGGAGCTAATAGATATATCTTTATTAATTTAAAGGTTATATACCAGATAATAAAAAAACTTAAAACCTTATTATACGAAATAAACCCTTTAAAGGTAATAGGTGGTTTTAATAACCGCCTTTTGTAACTGGTTAATACGGTATTATAAGCTAACTTTACTATTTAAAGACAAACGATCCTTAATAAGTGGATAATTATTTTAAATATATATAAGTCCTGTTATTATCGGTTAAAAGTGGTTAAAACATTACGATATTTTTATACATTTATAACAGTGTTATTTAATATTCCTAGACGAGGTTACTGTGTTAATTACAGCTTAATTAAAGATAAAGGTTCTTTAGTAATAAGAGGAAATGTTAAGGAGAGACGAACCTGTAGTGTTAAGAGTTAAGCCCTTACTAGTGGTGGTATTATTAGTTAAACACTTATATTTTTAAATACTTTAACGATAAATTAAGGAATTAAAAGACGCTTAAGTTAATACAGTATTTATATTTATAAACCTAAAGTTTAAGTAAGTGTGTTTTAACTTATAATAACAGCTATTAGGCTTTTAAATAAGTCGTTTTAAAAGGGAAGTGGATTTATATTATATAATATAGTAATTATTAAACGGTAATTCCCCCTTAGTTTTACCACTTTTAAAGCCTTAAAAACGATAAAAGATTACGAAGTTAAGCGTTTTACACGATGTATAAGGTCCTTACCAGTTAAAAAAAGACTTAATTAGATAGTATAAAGATAGGATTATAAATATTACAGTTATAAGTGTTACGAGAATAGGCAGAAAGTTCGAAGTTATCTCGACTACTATTGTGCGATCTTAGTATAAAGAGAAAAAGAAAGAGAATCCAAGCCAAAGCCCTGGCTCTAGAATTGTATGTTAACAATGCCCCTCTTTTCGGATTAGGCCTAACTGCTCTATAATGGGGTTAGTTCCGTTAGTGCCTGGCACCTTAAGGAACCGTAACTCCTATAGGGTCTACCAACTGCCACCGGTCTGCCAGGTGGCCAGGTAGCCAGGCCACGTGACTACCCCCCCCCTTTACAGAGGGGGTCTTATCCCTAAGACGCAAAAAGGCGTAAAAAAAAAATTTTTACGCTCCTGTAAGTACTTGAACCTTTAACTTACTCTATCGCTTCCTAGGTAAAGGAGGGGTGCCCTCAGATTAAAATAAACGTAACAAGTCTAAGGCCCTTAAACCTATACCGTTACGCTATTCTTCTTTATAATTTCACGGTCAGTTATTTCGTTTAGAATAACTAAATACTACTAATTAGTTATTTCCTAGTTACATGGTTTGACCGTCGTAACGTCGTAGTCCTCCCTTTTACAGCCGGTTTATCGTTATCTAGATAGGGTTGTTTGAATCGGTCTTTTTCCACGGCCTTAATCCACTGTTATAATCAGGCTAAGGGGCTAGCCTTTTCTAAATAGGCCTTATAATAATCCTAAAAAGCGAATAAGGCTTCCTTAAAGCTAAAGGCGTTATATTAATCTAAGTCGGGATCTTATCCTTTCCAGTCCACCCGGTATTAAAGCTTACTATAATATAATCGTGACAACAGGATTTACTTCACCTTTTACTATTTACCGTTATCAATAAATTCGGCTTCTAACCTTTCCGCCTCTTAGCCCAGGACGGGGTTATTTACGAAACAGCGCAGTTAGTCGGTGTGGAACTGTTTCAGGCTGTTAAGCAGTTTTACTGTAAAGGTTTCGCTGTTTTACCTAATAATTAGGAAATGCTGTTGTGATAAGGGGAAATCCAGCTTATCATTAGGCCGGTCAGTACGTGCTCCCGTTTAATAAAGGATGTAAACCTAATCGCTAACGTTAAAATCGAGCTCTTATTATCAGCGGTTAACCACAGCCTTATATTATTACTAAGTTACTGTTATAATTTCCCTGGCTTTATTAACGTACTGCTGTATTGTTTTAACTAATCGTTAAGCCTTAACCTGGTTTATTCGTTCCTTTACAGGTATTTACTTAGTAAGATCGGTCTGCCGGTTTTAATTAAATTACAGCAGTATAAGGAAGCCGAACAGGACCTTATAAAGCGATAGTTTAATACTGGTATAGGGTAAGCTAGCTTAAGCTGTATTTATCGCTGAGATCGCCTTATCTCAGTTATCCTAAAAGTGGTTAACAAACAGCTAAAGCTATTAATTAAGGTATTAGTTTATAATCTTAGCCTGTCCTGTAATCTTTAAATAACCGGTTAAAAACAGTTTTTAATCTATTTTTAAAAGTTTAACGAGTTCTTATGTGAAGTTAGCTACGAATTGTGGCCTTTAATCGCTGATTATAGATTCTAGTAGTTTAAAGATCTAAAACGGGCCTTTATAGTACATTTATACTATGTTTTTTACAGTTACAGTATCACTACATAGGATTATCCACAGGAGCTTACTTAACCTATTAATTATTACTAAAGCGTTATTATAACCATTACATATGGTTATTACAGCCTGCTTCTGGCTCCACTAGGGAGTCGGACAAAGACAGATTGTAATAGCGGACAAAGGTCTAATTGCTACAAGGTTGATAGGGATAAGATAACTAAATAAAGGCTAGCGTAACTCTCACGGGATAATACACTGTTAAACAGATCGTAGATCTAGAGGTCCCTAACAAATAGATCTCACTGAGGTTCGATGCTTAAGAACAATGTAATTACTAACGTGAGGAACCAAAAGGTCCCTTACTCTATCATAAGTATAATAATAATATTTATATTATTAGGTCTTAGTGGTACCTCTGTACCTTACTTACTCTACTTACAGTAATCACCTATAATTAAGGTAAGCAGAGTAAGCACAATTACAGGCTGCTTATAGTAATCACCCGTAATAAAAGTAAGCAAAATAAACACGCTTTATATATATCACTTATATATACTAAGTTATATACTATACTTCTTACAGGGCTATATCGGTCCAGCCTAACCCCTCCTGTAATTATAAGTCGTAACATAATTCCCCTTTTTAATCGTTCTTTTTCCACAAAGAACTTTAAAAGTAACTTCCTCCTACGTAACCTTTTATCATACCTGCTAACGTAATCTCGAAATAAAAGAAACTAAGGTTATTATCCTCTAAACGTTATCGCAACACCACCTTTTTTATCTTTATATTTAACATTATAATACCTATTTATTACTCCTGTTACATACACCTTAACCTTATATGCAAGGTGGTAAGTAAAAGCGAGTTGTGTGGAAACTATATAGCTTCCGGTGGCCTTAGGTTCTCCTTATATAACGTATATAGTAACGACCTGGCCGAGCTTTATAAGGTTTTTAAGGAGAAGGAACGCCTTAACAAGGAGAAACAGGTGACGTTTGTAAAACTATTTTAAATACAGGTGAAATTACTACATCTAAAGGATTAATAAAAATCTCTAGCCGCTTATGTAAATAAGTTATTCAGTTACGAGATTAAGATTATATAGGAGGAGGAGCGCTACATACCTAAGGCGTCTGTTGGTCCTTCTTCTCCTGTAATATCGTTAGATTAAGATGTGTTTTTAAGTGGAGATCCTGTTAAAGAGTTACCACGGCTGGTAGTGGCCACTTAAATAGGTGGATTATAAGGTGAGTTTTAATAAATAAAATGGTCTGTTAGCGTAGTGGTTAACGTGCCTGTTTATAAAGTAGGAGGTTATAAGTTCGATCCTTACACGGGCTTTTAATACTTAATTTTCCAGAGGAACGCTTTTACCTGGGAAGTTAAGTATCCCCTTCTTTTACATAGTTAATAATACTATTATAAGGTTTTTAATTATTACACCTTAAACTATATAGTCTTTTTTTTAATTACTGGTTTTAGTTAATCTAGATTTTAACGGTGGAATTCCTTAAGCTTATCTAAATAGTTTAAGTTTTCAATTAGTTCTTATAAGTTATGTTCTGGTCTGTAATCAAACTAGCTAATTAGATAATAGAGTTTTCCATTACGTATTTAAAAGTCTAGGACTTCTTTAACATCGAAGTTTTCCTTATCTATCTTTACTTTAAGCTTCTTTTTAAGTGGGATATTCTTTAACGCTGGTTTAAGAAGTAAGATGTGAAAAACCTTAGTTCAGACCTTTATCGTAACTAGTAAGTTAAACTTATAGTTTAAGGTAGCGACCTTTTTTACGATTTGGAACAGTCCAAATTTTTTAAAGTCGAGTTTTCTATTAAGTCGTTTCAAGTGCAGATTCTACATAAAAAGGTAGACATACTTTCCCTTTTATAAATCTAATCCTTTAGATCTCTTATTATCAGCATATTTCTTTATTCTTTTACAGGTGAATTTAAGTTTGGTTTTTAAGTGTTTATAAAGCTCTTAAAGCCTATCTGTACAGACTACCGCTTATAATACCTTAGTCAGAGGCCTTTACCTTAGCTCTGGCTTTTACCTAAATATTGTGAAGAATAAAGAGATGTTAGTTAATTCGATAACGGTTATATTATAGGTTATTTATACTGTTAGGAGTAGTTTAAGCCAGTTATTTTGTTTAAAGTTAACGTATATTTTAAGGTAAGTTTTAAGGATTTAGTTAAATTATTCCGTTTAGCTGTTAGTTTATAAGTAGTAAGCTGTTAAGAGTTTACTACTAACACTTATCCTTATTATTAATCCTTACTAAAACTTAAAGATTAAAAGTTTATTTTTATTAAAGATAATACTGTTTAGCTAAAGGTGTTATAACACGATTTCTCTTTTAAATATATAAGTGAGTTGTTCTGCCGTTATTATTTTACAGTATAGTAAAAAGTATACCTATTTTATCAGTCGATTAACAACTACTTAAATAGAGTCGTAACTAATATTTGTCACGGGATCTTTAAAATCTGGGATTCCAGTGATAAAATTTATTAAGATCAAACTCTAAAGTGCTGTTAGTGTTAGAAGAGGTTTAAGTAATCTGTATAGTTTATGTTGTTTGATTTTTATTTTATTATAGATATCGCAGTTATTAACAACTTCTCCTACCAGCTTTTTCATTCCTAAGAAGGCGTAACCCTGTTAGGCTTACGTAAGTGTTTTTACCCTTTTTATATACTTACCGATCCTTACCTTATAGATTTATTAAAGGTATTAACGTTATTATTTACAGTGGTAAATATAAGGCTTATCGTAATACTACAGCGTGTTATCTTTATTATTTCCTCCTGTTACTTTACTATCGATATCTTAAACGCTTTTATAATATGTATATGTTAGGATAAAGGTGTAAAAGCAGTTTTAGTAAGGTCTCCTTTCCCTTTTACTGTACTTATCACATACTCCCTTTATTCCTTCGTTTAAATAAGGCCCTTAAGTAAGGTCTTTTCACCAGGCCTAAAAGTCCTCCTGTTACTAGTTAACTTAATACTCCTAAAGTGTCGTTTATTAAAGTCAAACAGTGTTTTCTAGTATCTAATTTTCTGTTATTTATAATATGTGTTTAAAAGTTCCAGTGGTTATTTTTTTAAATATTAAAAGTAACTTAAGGTGTTTATAAGTTTAGTAATAGTTTGCTTTTTTATTTAAAACATCAGCCCTTCTGTTTTCTTTTCCTTTAACGTAGTGGATTTTAAAATAAAACAGGGCTAAGAGTTCTACCTATCTTACTTATCAAGGGGAGAGTTTTTTCGTAAGGAAGTATCTGAGGTTATTATAATTAGAGAGAACTTTAACTAATTCTTCTATACCTGTTAGGTATAATACCTATTTAGTAAAGCACTAGATAATTGCTATTAACTCTTTATCGTGGATTAGGTATCGAAATGCTGGTCTACTGATTACTTTAAATAGGAAGGTGTATAAGCAATGTTTCCCGTTATCTTGTTTTTAACTAAGGATTTCTCTTAAGGTAAATTCAGATACGTTGGTCTTAACCTTAAAAGGTTTAAAGAAGTTTAGCATTATAAAAACTAACGCTGTTATAAAGGCTTGTTTTAAGTCGTTAAGTGCTTTTTAATATTATATTATTTATATAAAAGGAACCCTTATTCCACACAGCTTATATAAGGGTTTAGCGATTTTTACGAAGTTTCGCACGAAATATTGGTAAAAGTTTACCAGTCTAAGGAAAGACTGTATTTTCACTTATAAGGTTAGTGTTAGCTAGTCTTTTACTACCTTAACCTTTTTTAATTATATTATAATTTCTCCTAAGGATATTTTAAATCCTAAATAGTTAAGCTTTTACACGTGGAACTTACTCTTTTCCAGGTTTACCGTCAGCTTAGCTTGTTCTAAAGCTGTTAGTACCTGTCATATATATTATCGGTGCTTTTCGATTATTTAAAAATAGATAAAGACGTCGTCGATGTAAATAAATATAAATTTATCAAGGAAGGGTCTTAACATATAGTTTATTATGCTTTAGAATAACGTAAAAATGTTAATAAGTCTAAACAGCATAACCCAGTATTAGTAATAACTAAGGGGTATACAAAACGCGGTTTTATATTCGTCCTCTTTTTTTATACAGATATAGTTAAACCCTATAAGGAAGTTAAAGCTGGTAAACCAGTTAGCTCCTACTAAACGTTCCCTGATCTTAAAGATTAGTAGTAAAGGGTAACGATTTTTAATCGTTATCACGGCTGGCAAGAGGTAAGTAGCAAGGCAACAATAGGTCTATTGCTAATACGAGAACTATTGGTGAAGAAGAGAGAGAGAGGAATCTAGAGGCGCAGCCTTAGATTCCTGATATGGCTCGGAGAGCCTTATCGATAAGAAGTGGGGCCAGTGGCTGTAGGGCAGCCACCAGCTACTAGACTATATTACATACAGGCAGTAATACTACGCTATACCGTGACATTACCCTCCCTTCCTGCTAATAATTACCCTTAATCGCAGCTAACGCTAAAAAAAAATATTATGTGTTTAGTCTCGAGAATTGAACTTATGGCCTTAGTCTTACTTTTCCTAGTTAAAGGGGACCTAACCTTAAAGGATTATAACACAGCGTTTATTAAGATCCTACTTTAACTACTATTATATTATATACCTTAGCGAGCTTTAGTAACAACACCTGTTAAGAAGTAGGTTATATCACTTACCCTTATTTCTCAGCCCTTTTTTTTTCAGTTACTCCTCCGTATTTTAATAAGCCCTTTACCCTTTACTACTTTATTATCGTCCTTATAATCGTCTATAAAGTAGTTGTTTTCCACCACTTTTAACTATTTAAGAAAACGTATTAATAGTCCTAATTTATCTAGATTAACATTATAATAAGCTTTTAACATTAATAAAACGTTTTTAAAGTCAGAGGCTAAATACCATACTAGGTTTAAACCTTATCCTTTTTAATATACCTGTCACGAGAATAGGCAGAAAGTTCGAAGTTATCTTGACTACTATTGTGCGATCCTAATATGAAGAGAAAAAGAAAGAGAATCTAAGCTAAAGCCCTAGCTCTGGAATCGTATGTTAACAATGCCCCTCTTTCCAGATTAGGCTTAGCTGCTTTATAGTGGGGTTAGTTCTATTAGTGCCTGGCACCTTAAGGAACCGTAACTCCCATAAGGTCTACCAGTTACCACCAGTCTACCAGGTAGCCAGGTAGCTAGGCTATATAACTACCCCCCCCCTTTGTAAAGGGGGTTTTATCCTTAAGACGTAAAAAGGTGTAAAAAAAAATTTTACACTCCTGTAAGTATTTAAACCTTTAACTTACTCTATCACTTCCCAGGTAAAGGAGGGGTACCTTTAGATTAGAATAAACGTAACAGGTCTGGGGCCTTTAAACCTATACCGTTACGTTATTCTTCCTTACGATTTCACAGTTAGTTATTTCGTTTAAAATAACTAAATACTGTTAATTAGTTATTTCCTAATTACGTAGTTTAACCGTTGTAACATTATAGTCCTCCCCTTTATAACCGGTTTATCGTTATTTAAATAAGGTCGTTTAAATCGGTCTTTTTCCCCAGCCTTAATCTACTGTTATAATCAGGCTAAGGGGCTAGCTTTTTCTAAATAAGCCTAATAATAGTCCTGGAGAGCGAATAGGGCTTTTTTAAAGCTAAAGGTATTATACCAGTCTAGGTCGGGATCTTATCCTTTCCAGTCCGCCTAGTATTAAAGCTTACTATAATATAATCGTAATAACAGGATTCGCTCCACCTCCCACTATTCACCGTTGTCGATAAATTTAGCTTCCAGCCTTTCCGCCTCTTAGCCCAGGACGGGGTTATTTATAAAACAGTGTAGTTAGTCGGTGTAAAACTGTTTCAGGCCGTTAGGTAGTTTTACTGTAAAGGTTTTACCGTCTTACCTGATAATTAGGAAATGCTGTTATAATAAGGGGAAATCCAGCTTATCATTAGGCTAGTTAGTATATGCTTTTACTTAATAAAAGATGTAAACTTAATCGCCGACGTTAAAATTAAGCTTTTATCGTCAGCGGTTAGCCACAGTTTTATATCGTTATTAAGTCGCTACTGTAATTTCCCTGGCCTTATTAATATACTGCTGTATCGTTTTAGCTAATCGTTAAACCTTAACCTGGTTTATTTGTTCCTTTACAGGTATTTGCTTAGTAAGGTCAGTCTGCTGGTTTTAATTAAATTACAGCAGTATAAGGAAACCAAACAGGACCTTATAAGGTAACAGTTTAGTATTAGTGTAAGGTAAGTTAGCTTAAGTTATATTTATCGCTAGGATCGCTTTATCTTAATTATTTTAAAAGTGGTTAATAAATA